AAGAAGAAACAACTTTTACGGAGAAGACACCCAAAAAATCTGAGAGCTATCGTCTCCTTCCATCGCCTCATTAGCCTCTGCCAAAGACCAACCACTTCTATTTCGAAAGCTGAGCGTGGGTAAGAAAAGGCCACTATTTCAGTGAGAGGTCGCACATCAGCAGACATTAAACGGACTCATCATCCTTCCTTCTCTCCTTTATTTCCCTTCCTCTGAATGCTTGACCAGTAGATGCAATGAGAAAATACCTGTAGACTCTCCTAGCGAAAGAATGTAGGAGCCCTACAACCTTGGTCGCACCACCGCGCCTCTCCAACAATAGCGTAGCCCCAATTAACTTTTCAGGGGAAATCTCCGCCTTATAGAAGAAAGAAAAGGGAGTTCTGAGAAAAAGATATCGCAAAATGACTCACTTTCATGTCCTCACAATTCAGAACTTCTGGATTCAAGAACAACTCTCTTGCGCTCTTGTACGGCCAGTTCTCCGGAGGAACGTATTTCTAAAAACTGAGTTCAACGTCCTGTTTTACCAAGGAACCACGAAGATGAAAGAACTTGTGAACAATTTTCAAATACTCAATAATCTAATACTCTCACATGACTCTATAATCGGGTATGGTGCAAGTCGGTCAAGAGGGTGCGGACATTCAAAGAATTTCTTGGGCAAAACTGGGATTGCCGTAATGGAGACAATGATTTTGGTTAAGCCATAGGAGACAAACAGCTTCGAAGCGAGAGAACCAATTTCGTGCAAAAAAAAGTTCCGCCTCAAGGTAATCCCAGTCGACCGTAGCGAGAGCTCTAAGCCCCTCGACTTGCCCCTAAGTTTCTGTGAAATGGATTTTCTTCAAGAAATTGGAGTAAAGGCTTCTGAAGAAAAAAGAAGGAGCTGGAGCTAGCGCAGATCAGTCCTCACCTTGGTATCAATATTCTCCAGTATCGACTCGATATCTCCATAAGTTTTAATGAGCTCAAAAGCTTTCTTTGGACCAATTCCTCTTATTGATTCACAGTAGTCACATCCCAAAAGGATACAGAGATCAACGAACTGTTCCATGGGCATATCGAAACCTTCCAGAACGCGAGAAAGAGAAAACTCCTGAAACAAAAGCATGTAGTTTAGGAGTATGGGGGCATCGTCGGAGGCGGTGAAAGAGGGCTTTTTGCACTTTCGCCGCTTCACTAGTTCCGGTAAACAACTTTCACTCTGGTGAAACCTGTGAACCCTTGTGAAGCTGCATGAAGCTTGTCCAGCCACAATTAGTTTCCTCGTCGACGGGAAGTAGCAAAAGTGCAAAATGCCCTCCCCTCCGTTGCCGAACTGCCGAAATAGGAGAGGGTAACCCGAAAAACGTCGACTGTTTACCTTAATCGGCATTTTCTTCGCTTCGGAGAATGTCATATGTCGAAGCAAGAGATTGGAGCCAAACGTTAACGAATCCATATCCTCGGTCGCGGTAGCAAAAACCTGAGAAGGATGACATTTAAAAGATCAATATAAATAATCGGTTTTTTGATTGTACCATGTAGGCATTTGTTTTCCGAGTTTTTGTTTCCACGGCGCACCCTACGGTTTCATTCGTTAAAAAAGTGTATTCATAGCGCATAAACACATCACCATGAAGCTCCGGAACAGCACAATCGTGGGCGCTAAATACCCCTAATAAACTGGGGGGGGGGGGGAGGGGGAAGGGAAGGGACATACACATTCGTAAGCGCTTGTCATCAGCATAGCAAAACCTATAAACCGCATGCCTGTATTAGGTCATCCCATTCAAAAGTGCCGTCGGTTTTATTCGAATAAACAAAGAGGAGAATAGATAAAAAGTAATATTTTGGCTTCAAGTTAAGTAAATCCCTCCTTCACCAATGACCCGCTCCCAGTGCCCCGAAAGCCTCTGGACCTCTGGTACTCGGCTTTATGACGAGGCGAATGGGGCGATTGAACCCAGGTCTCAGTATTGTTTGTGTCCCAGCACTGCCCTACAATACAGTTACTCGGGGTCTGGCACTATGACGAGCAACGGTGGCCTTCTTGTAGTTGTGTGGTATCCATTCTGTCGACTGTATTGCGACGATCAGGCCCAAGTATACCTGACAGCTACGTTTTATTTTCTGTATATGAGCCGCCCGAAAAGCCTCATCAGCCAGGAATCCTTAGCTATGATGATCCTTCATTGCGCCCACGTAACCCTCATAGTTAGAACACAACATGTTTGTGCTGCTGCAGAACTCGGCGGCTTCTCATCTGCATTCATACAAAACTGAATATTGTGAGTTTTGGCTCGAGGTCCAAGACCACCCATATTTCATCTAGCGGGCGGCGCGCGTTATCACCAGTCTCGTGAACGGATTTCATGCCTGAGAACATTACTGTCTAGAGCAAATCGGTACTGCGTTCGTCGCTTCTATAAAAAACAGTTTACGGTACCCGTGCAGACCCCCCCTGACCTACTTTATGGGACATAACTCGTTCAGTAGCTGCAGCTGGGATGTCAGTCTCGCAGGGAAGCTCGACAGAAGTCCAGGCTCTGTGATCAGACCTTTAGCCCTTGACTTCTCCACCCTTTTTTTCTCGCGCAGGATGAACATTATGGGACCATCCACGACAACAATTTTTTTTTCCTTTCTTCCTTCCTTCTTCGGGCTCCTGAACAAACCTTCCACCTTGTATATCGAGAACACCATTACACACAACTACTGGTCCGGCGCCGGTCAAATTTGAGCAGCGCACTTCCCTCTTATGACGTCTGATTTGAAAATCGGGCGCTGATTTTCACCACTCGGGCTTCTTTTCAATTTCTCGAAAACTTCTTCAGTGGGTGAGTTCGCCAAATTTACACAGATACAACACCTGAAAGTACTTACTTCGCAAATGCGATAGTAGCCGCGCTTCCCTTTCCTTTTCTTTTCTGCATTCCTCTGTTATGTGCGGCACTGTTGAATTGGGATGACCTAATATATACCGGCAGACTGTGCAACACCAGCTATAGCAACAGGCAGCTTTATAACTTGTTATCACCTGTCAATGCAGTGCTTGTAAAACTCCTGCTCAAATTTCAAAATGACTGGTCAAGATGGAAGAATTTAAAGAATCGGCTTAATGGCCGTCTCAATACTGATACCATTTACGTCAAGCATACAGCGTCTTTACGGCGGCGGTGCCTGACAGGAAGTTATCAAGAACCGGTGAGAAAGACCTGTTGAAAGACAAAGAAACAAAGAGAAACTAGACTGGTTGAAAGCTTTTATACCTTCGTCAACCACCCTCCCACCTCACAGGATTTACTGGCGTCTCAGCTACTAAATTTATGACAATAGTTCAGATCTGGAAATAGGGCCGTGATGGTTCTGAGGAGGACACTCGGCCTTGCATGCGCTTCCTCGTACCCAGCAGTAAAGGCCGGGCTCTCGCACGGAAAAGTCCCCCCTCCTAAACCTAAACAATGGTCTGGAGAAAAGACACAGAAACTCTGCTGAATGTGCACATATGGTCGCTGAAGGGAGGGAGTCGTAAAAAGTTTCCGGTTCTGGTTTCATGGTTTTCCTGCTTCTAGTCCGCTACACTCCGCCTTCTTGCCTGCCACAACAGTTTTTTTTGGAAATAGAGGATCCTTCTGGGAAAAACTCAGGAGAAACGCTGAAGAGTTGGGAAAACTCAGAAAGTTGGTGAGTAGGATAAGGGACATAAGGAACGGAGAGGGGGGATTTCGGAGATTGTATTTTGTGAAGCTTTTCCTCTACAGCAAAAAGTGCCCCGACTGGTATCAGAACCAATACTGCAACTTCTGCAGAGATGGCTTTGTCTCGACAAGGATCAACCCGCGGCTCATCAGACTCATCAAACTTCGGACAGAAAAAGGCGGCGACAGCTAACAAAAAAGTGGACCCTGCTACGGCACGGGAAAAACGCTGTGGAGAAGATCGAGAGCAACGAACCACCCACTTTATTAGCCTTCACGAGAGCAGCGCACTGAGCTTCAGCTTCACATGGTGCTTCCACAACAGGAACTCCCATAAGACGAAGAAGTCGTTTAACGTCTTCATTTTGCTCCTTGGTCACCTGTGAAAAACATACGTTTGTAAGATTCAAAACAAGTGTAGTCAAAATCCTTACTTTAACAAGTCGCCGCTCAAACTTGTCAACAGCAGCCGCGTCACCTTTTTCCTTGGCTACAGTAAGTGATTTTTCAGCTTCAGCACTGAAAATACCGATCCGTTTAAGGCAGAACTCATGAATATTTTCAAAAAATAGTAACCGTCTCTCCATTCGCTTCTCCAATTCTCCGCTTTTCAAATGTGGTGGCTTCCCATCGAACACATAGCATGGTTTCACACCGTTTTCGATCATCCGAATTGTGCGGTAGAACATACCCATCAAATGACTAAATTAGTAATTAAATCACTCCCCAGGACTTAGAGGCATCTCAAAACAAAAGGAAATACGACGGGGGGGGCATTTGCACTTTAACGACTTCCCATCGACGTGTCGACCCATCTAGACTCTTCTCGAGTTGACAGGTTTTACCATGATGGCTTGACGAGCTTGCTCCAGCTTCACAAGAGTTCACAGGTTTCACCAGACTTGTAAACCAGAACTAGTAAAGGGCGTGTCAGGCAGTATGAGTGTGCCACCCGTCAAAGCCGTTCCCTGCCTTCTTGTTGAAGCGCGGCATGCGACCAAAAGTGGTAGAAAATAATAATAGTAACAATAATAGT